GCAGCCACAAAGGGAGATTCTTGGCGTGGGCCCCTCACTTCCCCTCTGGAGCCCGCCCACCCTGAGCGCCTCTTCCTTGGCACTTCCTCCTTGCCGCTTTCCGTCTGTCTTCCCTCTTCATCTTTTCTCCCAGAGCTCTCTTCCCTGACCCGGTAAACATCTCCCCCTCCTCCCCGTGGGTAATGGGTATTTATAGAAACAGATCTGTGTTAGGGGACAGCTAGGCCGCCCTGCCCGGAAAATCGATCCCCCAAAGAGCCTCCGAGGCCTGGCTCCAGCCTACAGGGAGCACTGCCAATTGTCCCCCGCGTGTGTAAGCATGTTTTATGAGTGCTACAGGTTTGAGCACAGCAGAAATTGTAATTAACATTAACAAAAATAAGAGCCACAGCAGCAGTCAAAACAAAACAAGCCACCCCTGTAGGATTCTCTATTTGGAGATTATTCAAAAGGAAAGGGCCAGCTTTGCTTTGTAGCTGCCAGGGGAAGGGCACCTGACAGTCGCTGTCTTCCTCAGAGGGCCAGAAGGGAGGGGGAGCCCGGCGTGGGACTGGTGGCTGCAGAGGTTGGCAAGCTGGGTTCCACTTCAACATGAACCTTTTCTCAGGAGCCAGGGATTGCCCTGGAATGGTGACTGCCAGCCTAGAAGAGATGTGGACTCCAAGGAGGTGCTGATGGTTTCAGAAGTCTTTTTCCCATTTGAATCTTTCCGAGAAACCCTCTAAAAGGGTTCCCTATGAGAGAAGCTCCCTAGGGATTTGGTTTTTTGTTTGCCAAGTGGAAGTTAAGTACATGTGGCAAAGGCCGTTTGTAGCCTACAGGGGAAAAGCTCTGGAGGGTATGTTTTGTGGGGAAACTTGTTTATCAGAGGGAGAATTTGTGAGAGGGTGGCCAGACTGCATTTGTGCCTGCTTGACCCGGAGAGATGTATACAAGTTTCATAGGAAAACATTTTGTTGTTAGTGCTGGCTTTTTCCTGACTTGCTTAGTGTGGGGGCTAGGAATCCACCAGAGATGAATTAACTGACCCATGTTGGACTGTTGGTGGAGGGGGGAGAGTCTGCAGGTAGATGGATAATGTTGCTGTTGAATGTTCTTGTCACAGTGATGTTTTACTTAAAGAACTACCATTGGTTTTAGGAGTTTGGGGGTTTTTTTTGTTTAGCTTAGAATCGTCTGACAATTTGGAAAATATAACAGCCAGTTTTTTCCATGTGTTGATGTAATCACATGACATGATGTGAACTGGGGCAGAAATACTTGGTCTGCATCTGGATTCCAATTTTGTAAGGATGGGCTTTGCTGATCAGGGCCCGGTTGCAATTGAAATATGTAATGAAACTAGATAAAATAAAAAGTCTCCACTGGAGCAATAGCCTGTGGTGGATTAGAAAAGAAAACGATATGATCATGCTTCTCAGTATTCCTCCTAATGGATGCATGTGCTTCACTGTGCCATATGTCTGATTTACCTGTTTCTAACTTTTGTGTGAACGTTTCAGTCTGCTATTAATTATTAGATGCTTGGTTTTAGAAGTGTGAATTTGGTTTTTGAATATTGTTTAGATTTGATTTTAATTGTATAATATTGCAGATTTCATAGAACAGGAAGTTTAGAGAACCACAGAATTTTATCTGGTTCCACTCCTTCATTTTTAGATGAGGGTGCAGACTGCAAGTTACTGGTCGGTCCGGATTACCTAGCCAGCTCCTATCAATATGTATTATATAGCCCCATTCCCTCTTGAGTCAGGTTTTAATATGCTGTCCAGTACTACTAATTCTAGGACATTGTAGTAGCTTTATTATAAATGCAAGAACCTTAGCAGATTGATGTTGCTATATGTCTGTAAGGTTTTTATAAGTTTTTAGGTTTTAATTCCAGACCTGTTATACTTGGGAAGAACTGTTTAGAATGAGTGGGTAGCAAAGGGTATTAAAGAGAGGAAAATGATCTTATCATAGAGCTTGCCATATTTTTCTGTATAAATGATATGCGGCAGATAAATATCTGATTATAAAGATTGTGAACTTTGGGATTTCCCATTGCCCTTTGTTTTCTGTCTGTTGGTATCGTTATTTTACACTTGTAGTTTGTTTCTGTTTGTCTTGAAAGTATACCTAGTAACTATTTTGATTCTGATTATTTTGTAGTGTGAGATATATTAGTATATTTGTTTAAATTTCCAAAATATTGATATTTATCACTTTCATAACTTTTAAGGTTTAACATACTCTCCTGTGGCAGTTTTATCTTTATAAAATGAAATTAAAGAAATAAAATCCATATTTAAAAAATAGTAATATTTAAGAGAAGAAAATGTACACATTGACTCAGGGTCACATAGACTATTAGTGTATCTAAAAAGGAGCTAAAATTCCAGTCTTTTTGGATTCAGTTTTATTCCCATAACACTACACATCGTTTCTGAAATGAGTTCTAGAAATTTTTTAAACACCCAGAAATATTAGCACAATAAAAAAATCTGTTTGCCATTTCTCATTGGAAGATACTAAAAGTACTAAATTTTTTAGACTATTATTCTTACATAATTTTAATACTAAAATATTTCCCAGTTTTTGTAGGTCTCTTTATTTTAACGCCTGAGTTGAATTTTAAGCCTTGCATTCATTCAGTATATATTTATAATGTAACTCCCACTGTGCTAGACATACCAAATATAAATAAGCTGCAATCTCAGACTCCAAGAGGCTTGAGTAGGAGAAGTTTTTAATATCCATAAGTTTATGATATAGTCCTGGCCTACATATTCTGGAAATGATTTGGCTTTTCTAGTTGTTCCCCCTTCCCTCTCTCGTAGATCAGTTAATTGTATTTGTGAGTTTGGTTTTGATTTCAGAGTCCTATAGTGTTTAAGACTCAAATTCCTCTTCTACTATTGCTCTCAAGGGAATAGCTTTAATGTCTGGAGACTTTTAAGATTTTACCTGTGGCTTTTAGGTAAGTAGCTGATGTGTTTGCCTTAGGTATTTTTTAACCAGCTTTCCTTTGCCTCCTAATCTCTGCCAGTGCACTGCAGGCTAATGTCTTGTGACTGAGGTCACCAGGGATGTTTCCCAATTCCCTGAGTGTTGACTTCATGTTTTCCTTTGAAGGTACAAAATATATTTCTCAAGAATAGCTCTAAGAGAAGTGAGAGTTAACAGGGATTTATTGACATGTGTTCTTCTATTCAACAGATTTTCATTAAATGTTTACTGTATGCCTGAGTTTATGTTAGTAGGGACTTACAGAGATAAGAGATGACCCTCCCTTGGAATTGCTCACAGCCAGGTGGGTGCCTCAGATGTTGAAACAATTACAGTAAAATGAAGTAAGTGTTACTAATAATACACCAGAGCAGTTGTAGGTACAGAAGGACCTGTTAGATCAGAGGTGAGAGCTGAACCAGGTTTTGAAGGTTGGGTAGGAGTTTATCACTAGGCTGTGAAGGAAGGAGATTTCTAAGCAGCATCTGAAAAGGACGGTAATAATAGCTTTCACTTGGCTAAGTAACTATACTAAGCACTTTACACATATTATCTTTTTAATCCTCCTAATGGCCCTAATGAGGTAGCTTTGTTACCTTCTTTTTTGTAGGCAAGGACACTGAATTTGAGAGAGATTAATTGTTAGTATCTCATAGTAAGTGGTAAGAGCTGTATTCATTTCATGATTTTATGTGTGTCTAACTGAAAATCCCTCAGCTCCTATGAAACATGACCTCACCAGAAGCAGAGGAGTGTTAAAGAATGGGCTGATTGTACAAGTCTTGGGGAGTTCAACTCGGTTCTTCTTGAAGAAAAGAGTGATAGTGGTAGATGGAGACTAGAAAGGGCTCAGATTATTTAGGTTCTACATTTTAGAAACTTATGGTTTTACTGGTAAGTTCTTGCATAAGCTGTGGAAATGGGTGCAGCTGTGGGCCTCCCACAAAAGCAAGAACAGTCTCAGATTGACATTGTTTGTTTTTTGTTTTTTGGGTTTTTTTGGTACCGGGGATAGAACTCGGGACCTTGTGCTATTGAGGCAGGCAGCAGAACCACTGAGCTAAATCCCCGGCCCTTCAGATTGACATTTTTTAGTAACTCTGGAAACACCATGGGAAAAGATTTGAAGTGTTCTAGGCAAAGAAGCAAGGGGGCTTGTTACGAGACCCACAACAGGAGTGTGAGGTGAGGTAGTATTGATGGAAAGGGCATATATAGACAAGAGAAACCTCATGATGGTTCAGGAAGGCAATGGAGATGCTGAGGGGTTTCCAGGTGTGCAGTGCTGAGAACTCGTAGGGTTGCAGCTCAAGACATGATGTGGAAGTGTCCTGAGGATTATGAGAGGAGGAAAATGTTTGGTCGAAAAATGTGGAGTTGAATTTGAGTTGCCTGGGGAAGAGGAAGCTGGTCAGCAGTTGGACATGCTGGTTTTAAGCCCAGGAGACATGGATTCCACAGGGTTTAGCTAGAAGAGATAGAGCAGGCATCAGCCCCTGGGCAGTGCCGATCAAACAGAGAAAGTTGTGGAAGTGAAGCCGAGAGAACTGAGGCTTGAACCTACCTAAGGCATTAATTGTTGATATTTCAAAAGAAGACCAAGCAAAGACAGCTGGAGAGATGGCAGGTGGTCCAGTTTTTTGGCAAACTCTTTAGTGGTAGTCATTAAATCATTGGTGATTATTTTTAAATTGTGTAAAATATAAAAATTGCTACAGCAAAACCTAAATGAATTTCTGATGCTCAAAAAGTTTTACTTTGTTATCATTTTAGGATCCTTAACTTCAAAGTTAATGTTGTGCTTAATGAAGCTTTGTGCCTTTTAATGCATGTATATAAGGAATGTAAGTATTTTCGGAAATACCTCCATCTTGCCCTAATGAGATTGGTTCTGTAAGAGAGACATTTTGAATTTCAGGTTCTGTTATGGCTGGTGTTAGAAAGACCACAGGGGAGAGGAGGGGCTGCAGAGAATGAGGTGAGGAAAAGCAGGAGACAAGTCTATGTTACTTTTATATATAGTATATTTACGACTTTTCTGACTCATTTTATGGACAGCCCTGCTTTTGCATTGCATCAAGATAACAATAACCTGTTCAGCCACCCTAATAGAATATAAGATACTTAGTGTAGAGTATTGTCTCTGTGTTTAATAAAAGAGCTCAACTCTGAAAATCTGAGAAATAAAATCCCTGAGCCTTTGAAGTCATAGCCAGGCCTAAAAACTATTTTCTAGTTTGTTTTACAAGTAAGCAGAGGGAAACCTCACTCTGCAGACGGTCATGATACATGTCACATGTCAAAAATATGGAGGTCTTGGTCAGCTGATATGTGTTTGAAATTTAATTTTATAGTCCACATGTTCTCAAACCATTTTTCAAATTACTATATCTGCAGAGGACTTCTCAAGTAGTATAAAAAGTCCAAAAGGTAGGATTTAGTAGGAGATAATTGAAAAAAATACTGATGAAGAAGGATTTTCAGCTAGTTTATTGTAAGCTCCCGAAGGGCCGGAACAGGGCCACTTTCATGGGTAGGCCCCTGTTAATACTAGCTGAATGCATGCGGTGGATTGTGAATGATAAGCTGGTCTTTGAGATTTCATATAAAAGTCACCTAGCAGGCTGCTGGAAGGAAATCCCAAATATATTCTCAGTAGAAGGCTGGGACCTCTTGTTTTTACCCAATCAGTTTTGTTTAGACAGGATTGTTCAGTGATAGCATGTGTGCCTGAAATAGAAATTGCTACTTTGTATGCCTTGTTGGAAAACTGTGTATCCCAGCGGGGCCCATAGAAATACATGTCTTAGGAGAGCTGAGCCATTGACCAAAGGAAGGCCCCCAAACTGTTTGCTGGACTTAATGGCCTTAAATGGTCACTAGTCAGTAAAGCCCAGAAACTTTGAAAAATAAGTTAGTGGTTTACAAGATAACTAACTAGAGCGCATATCTTTGTGAGTATCTTTCAAGCCTAAAAACAGTTTTCTTTGCCACTGGATTATATATATGTTTCAAAGTTTAATGAAATTTCCAAGGAAAAATGAAACACTAGTGAAAATGCGTTTTTTGGAATAGATGTAAATATTGGATAAACAGTGCATAGGACAGATATGGTCCTTGTCCTCATGTTACAAAAAAACCCTGCTACATGAAGTGTGGAAGGAGCTGTGATCCAGTGGTGGAAATCCAGTGTAGACTCTGATTTGCTTATGCTTTTCCTGTTTTCCATTTCTCTTCCTTCCCTCCCTTCCTTCCTTCTTTCCTTCCCCAATACTGAGGATTGAACCCAGGACCTTCACACTGAGCCACATCTCCAGCCCTTTGATCATTGAGATAGGATCAATTACTAAATTGCCTAGGCTGGCTGAACTTGCAATCCTCCTTCCTCAGTGTCCCAGAGTGCTGGGCTTACAGGCATGTACCTACCACACCTGGCTCCCATTTCATTTTTATATCAAGTATGGATTGAGTGGAATAGCTGTGATGCGCAAGGCCTGGTACTAAATATTGTAAATATGAAATGATAAACAAGAAAGATTGGTCTCCTCTTCCACAGAGGACTTTGTCTAAGGACTTCAGATATCTGTAGCAAACCATTTGTCTGTTAGGTATAGCTTTTGTGGGTTTTCACCGTGTGTTCCCCAGCCCTAACCCGGCCACTGTTCCCTTTTCCCTTTATTGTTTCAGAGCCCCTTGCTCTCATATCCATTCTCACTGCCAGTGTGTTCATAGGGTCCCTCCTTGGTGTATAACTTGTTCCACGTAGTAAAACTGGTTCTGCCTGTGGATTTAAACCAAATTGGATTTTGTAAAGGTGAGGGATGTGGCATGAGGGCTGACTTGTATCACATTCGAACTGGCAAACCTTTTCTGTTCCATTTATATATCCCCTCTGAATTCCAGATTGGCGGCGGTAAGCACACAATGAATGATCACCTGCATGTCAGCAGCCACAGCCACGGACAGATCCAGGTTCAGCAGCTATTTGAGGATAACAGTAACAAGCGGACAGTGCTCACGACACAACCAAATGGGCTTACAACAGTGGGGAAGACGGGCTTGCCAGTGGTGCCTGAGCGGCAGCTAGAGAGCATTCACAGAAGGCAGGGGAGCTCTACCTCCCTAAAGTCCATAGAGGGCATGGGGAAGGTAAAAGCCACACCCATGACGCCTGAACAAGCAATGAAGCAATACATGCAAAAACTAACAGCCTTCGAACACCATGAAATTTTCAGCTACCCTGAAATATACTTCTTGGGTCCAAATGCAAAGAAGCGCCAAGGCATGACAGGAGGGCCCAACAATGGTGGCTATGATGATGACCAGGGGTCTTATGTGCAGGTGCCCCACGATCATGTGGCTTACAGGTACGAGGTCCTCAAGGTCATTGGGAAGGGGAGCTTCGGGCAGGTGGTCAAGGCCTATGACCACAAAGTCCACCAGCATGTGGCCCTGAAGATGGTGCGGAATGAGAAGCGTTTCCATCGGCAAGCAGCGGAGGAGATCCGGATCCTGGAACACTTGCGGAAGCAGGACAAGGATAACACCATGAACGTCATCCACATGCTGGAGAACTTTACCTTCCGGAACCACATCTGCATGACGTTTGAGCTGCTGAGCATGAACCTGTATGAACTCATCAAGAAGAATAAATTTCAGGGCTTCAGCCTGCCTTTGGTCCGCAAGTTTGCCCACTCAATTCTGCAGTGCTTGGATGCTTTGCACAAAAACAGAATAATTCACTGTGACCTTAAGCCCGAGAACATTTTGTTAAAGCAGCAGGGTAGAAGCAGTATTAAAGTGATTGATTTTGGCTCTAGTTGTTACGAGCATCAACGTGTCTACACATACATCCAGTCTCGCTTTTACCGTGCTCCGGAAGTGATCCTCGGGGCCAGGTATGGCATGCCCATTGATATGTGGAGCCTGGGGTGCATCTTGGCAGAGCTCCTGACAGGTTACCCCCTCTTGCCTGGGGAGGATGAAGGGGACCAGCTGGCTTGTATGATTGAACTATTGGGCATGCCTTCCCAGAAACTGCTGGATGCGTCCAAACGAGCCAAAAATTTTGTGAGCTCCAAGGGATATCCCCGTTACTGTACTGTCACTACTCTTTCAGATGGCTCCGTGGTCCTCAACGGAGGCCGTTCCCGGAGGGGGAAACTGAGGGGCCCACCGGAGAGCAGAGAGTGGGGGAATGCACTGAAGGGATGTGACGACCCCCTTTTCCTGGACTTCTTAAAACAGTGTTTAGAATGGGATCCTGCGGTTCGCATGACCCCCGGCCAGGCTTTACGGCACCCCTGGCTGCGGAGGCGGTTACCGAAGCCTCCTACCGGGGAGAAGACGTCAGTGAAAAGGATAACCGAGAGCACTGGTGCTATCACGTCAATTTCCAAGTTACCTCCACCTTCTAGCTCAGCTTCCAAACTGAGGACTAATTTGGCACAAATGACAGATGCCAATGGGAATATTCAGCAGAGGACAGTGTTGCCAAAACTTGTTAGCTGAGCTCGGGTCCCCTGATGCTGGTAATCTGAAAGATACGACATAGCTGAGCCTTACCGGGTTGAAAAGGAGTAGCTCAAAACCTGTTTTTATTTGCTCAATAACTCATTTGTATCTTTTCAGCACTTAATTTTAATGTATGAAAGTTTTTTGTTTCATTTTTATAAAATACATGGGGACAATGCTTTAAGTTTTTATACTTTCTGAAACTTTTTTTGTGTTCTAAAAGTACGATGAGCCTTACTGTATCTAGTGTGGCAGAGTAATAACATCAGTGGCAGGCCATTGATTAAGTCATGACTGCCACGCATTTACAGATTGGTCAAAGATATTCACTATGTTTTTATGGTTCCTATTATATTCTCTCCAGGGTGATAGCCTCCTCTTCTCTCCACACTCCAGGTTCATGCACAGGCATAGCATGTCCTGCTTCCATTTTCTGTAAATTAATCTTGGCAGTTGTGCAGGTAGAAGGAGAATGGTCAGGATGAAAACCTTATTCTAAGAAAAACCGCACCTTAGAGATGTTTTTTCCCTCAAACAAATACAAAATAAGATCCCCAAAGTTTAAATTGCCCAGTTAGCATTCTGACATTCTAAAATCCGGCAAAGCAGCATTTAGTGGATAAATGGAAACGGAAATGTGTGTGTTCCTCCAGATTTTCTAACACGATCAGCAAGCTGTTTTGTCAAGAAGCCTCCTATTACAGAATTGAGTTTGGACCTAATTTTAGAAATGTATTCCACGACTCTTCCTCACTTCTGTTTGCTCTTCTCTCTGTTCCTCTTTTATCACACATCTGTTGCCTGCGTTTAGTTTGTCTTCTTCCTTCAGTCGTATGTCCCAGACTGTTAATACAGAAAGAGACATTCAGCTGTGATTATGACCATCATTTCATATTCCAGTATAAAAAAAGAACAGTCTAGCTACTTAAGATGGGGATTTCCATAGTTCCAAAGAAGATTTAGCAGATTAGAGTGAGTTCATATGTTTTAGGTGCCACTGTAAGGTTCCCTTAGCCCGGGAAAATATCAGCTCTTTCTTTAAAAAGAAAGAAGGTTGAAAGTCCTCTTCATGAACAGAAATCACTGTGGTCCTTCAATAAGACAATTTTAACATCACATTTAAAGGGGAGAACTTCAACCTCAAGTTAAATGGTTTGACTTCTTCTTTGCATTAGAAGAACCACAGAAATTGCATTCCTCTGTTTTATTTTACTTCCTTTTGGATTGCACTGATTGTTTTTGTGGGAATGACACTTTACCTGGAAAAGTAACTGAGAGATAAAAGAATATTTTCTCTGAATAATAATTATTTTCACAGTGAAAATTTCAGTATTTTATCACTAATGTATGAGCAGTGATATACGTATATCAATTTCAAGGCACGTGGAAAAATTTTTTAGTATGTGCAATTTAATATAGAAAGATTTCTGCCTGTTTGAACAATAGGTTTTGGGTAGTATAAATTAGAATAAATAATCTTTTATATCCACAGATATTATTGTATTGCCTGTAAATTGATTTGCAAATACTTAAAGCATGGTCCCCAGTGAGGCCAAGAAAGTTTCCGGTTAAGTTCTTTTCATATTAACCCTACAGTTTCTCTTACTTTAAAAAAAAAAATGTAGTTTTGAACAAAACATTTTACTTATCTTGAGGCTTTGCTGGTTGATGGTGGAAAATATATGCTCAGGTAATATTTCAGATATTTGCCAAAAAACAGTAATAAGATTAGCTTATTAATATAGTAATATTGATATTTGCTTTACTATTTAAGGATGTCACTGATAAATTAATTTGTACTTCTGTATTTAGAAATTATAGCTTATTTCCCCTAGTCAGAATCTTTAGCGTGTTATACACATTTCTGTGTAATCTGTGAAAGTGCAATAATTTTAGTAAGTTGCATTTTAAACAATGCTCTTATAATGACATCCCAATCAGTGGCTTATAGGACTTAAAGATTTGTGTGTTTATTAAGATTCTGGCTTAAAGGTGTAAGAAGTGTAAGACTTGGTTTGGTGGCTTTCTACAACCACAAGCCTCTTAATAGTCATTAAGGTTAGTTCTTTAGCGCATTATAAAGACTGTTTCCCCCTTGCCATTAATGTTCCTCTTCCATTTCCACTCTCATTTTCACATTTAAGTTTAAAAATGTGAACCTGAGCCTGCCATTATTTATTTCCCTGTAAAATGATTATACATGTGAAATTTTATAAATGTACTAATAGTATTTGTCTTTACCCACCACACAAAACTGGTTCTTAAGATGCCAGCAATGCATTTGTGACTATCTTTATTCACAGATGCAACCGGAAACTTTTGCGCCAAAATATAATGTGCAGTGTTATGGGACGTTTTTTTTCTTTTTGGTCCAATACAGTGAGATTTCCTTTATTCCCAAGAGCCACTGTATTTCAGCATTTAGTGATAGAACTGCTTTTAAAAAATTCTTGGATTGTAATGTCAAAAACAGAAAAATGTTACATCTTTGTGATTTTTAAAGGTAAATAAAGGGCTCTCTGATAGGCTACTAGGAATTGGCTTGGAAACAGTCCTTCGTCTCACAGGTTACCATTGTCTAGGGATGTCTGAGCTGTTTTCAGATTTAGGAATAGCACAGTGTCGTCTTGTCTTTGGTTGCAGTCTCATTTGGCTCCGTTTCTTGCAGCACCTGAGTGTTCATTACCACTTAAGTGCATTGCTACAACAGTGGAACAACGGTGATGCAAGACGGTGTAGATTAACAGTAGAGGAGAAATTGTGCCCTTAGTGTTAACAATGTGCCTTTTGTTCTGAATGCCATGTTGTAGGGCATGCATTTTTTGGCCTCTTTAACTCTTCGAATACTAGGCAGTAAGAATGGAACCCACCTCTGCAAAGATACATCTGTCTTAAATACCTAGTTACAGGCCTTAATACAAACCATAAGGCATGGATTATCAACAGGCGCTGAAGAAGATAACCATCGGTTAGTTGCACAGGTAATTCCTATATTTAAGGGGTTAAAGATGGTCTTTATTGTATCTTAACATCAGACTGATTTTTTAAATATTTTTTGTTATGCTAACACTAGACAAAAATCAACTGTATTTGTAAAAATTTACCTCAAACCATTTAATTTTATAGTGTGATTAATCCCAGGGCATTTGGTATGAACCAAAGTGCATTCCTTTTATATGTGCCTGGCTCTAGTAAGGATGGCCAGGGATTTTTACAATTTGGGTGCAAGGCACTTAAGCCACTTTTAAACTTAATGGGTGGTTTGGAGTCATGTTAAATGACTCCATCAGAATGTTAGAAAACACTTTAGGCATCAGTAGCATTGGGCCATATTGGAATCTTAAAGTGTGAATTATTTTAAAGAGAGCATTCATTTTTGTAATTTTTTTCATCAAGAATATTTCTGGTAAGCAGAAGACTTTTTAAAAAGCTGATTTGGTTGGTAAAGGTTTTAATATTGCCCAATATAATGCTGTGGTAGCATTTAAAAAAGTATTTGTGAACTTTGTTTCTTAGGGGCTTGTACATCTCTCTGCTATGGACATATATAAAATTAATTGTGATTATACTCAGCTCAACTGCTACAGTTAAGTCTAGGCAGTGGCTTGGGTTTTTATCGAGCACCAACTTAGACATGTGACTGTAATATGCTGCAACTGTGTGTACTGAAAATATGTGAAAATGGTTGAATGTGGACTGTGTATATATGTATGTAAAAATTTCTGTGAGATGCTGCTGTCGCCACTTAACATGGAAAATGTTCTAGTGGATTTTAATCCTAGTGGCCAGTTCTATGATACTGTATGTATTGTACAGCTGATGACAGGAGTAAGACTGTTTAGTGAATATTTGTTAAATTTTATTGTTGTGGCCAGAGATAATTTCAGAATAAAATTTTAATGTCCTACCTTACTTTTCTCCCCTTTTCTAACTATAATTTAACTCCTAATCTATTTCTGGTATCATTCTTGGTCTGTTATCCTGGAGAGAGTTTAGAATTAAATAGTTCTGTATCATTGGATTGAGATGTAAAAGTAGTTTGCTCATCAGCAGTTAAATTATTGGTTGAATATAAATATGCAAATTCCAATTAAGGAAGACTAAAGTTTTAGTATGCAGCTCTTGCTTTTCTCAGGTTATTCTATTTTAATATTTTTTTTAATTTTTTGATAATTAGCACTGCCATGTTTTCTACTGTGCTAGAACTTCAAATCTTTTTTTCTTTTAACCTTAAGGTGGTAGTTAGCTGTGGGAGCAGAGTCAATCAATTCTTCCCCACCAGTCTTTATTCTTTCCTGTGCACAAGTTCTGGTAAATTATTCTATGTGCTGTCCCCAGCTCCACCCAGTGCTTTTTATAATGTGGGTCCTTTTGCAGATTTTGTACTTGGTGTTTTTTATGATTCACACTTTGGAGATTTTTGTCGTGCCTGGGTCAGGAAATAAGGCCTATGAACTGCAACCAGCTCATGATGTGTCAAGTTCAGTTAACAGCGAGCTAAGAATTTACTTATCGATGATGGCAAGCAGATGCTCTAGTAATTTGTCAGACATTGCAGGGATATTACATAGACAAATATTTCTCATGTGGAAAGAACTACCTCACATTTTTATTTACATCCCTCCTGCCATCGATAGCAGAGGAATTCTTAACTGTGGTTTCCTGCATCAGTGATGAGATTTACTAAAACCAAGGCAATATATGCAGTGAGAGTTCCTCAGCTCAGCTTTCATCTTATAGCCTATACCAGTGGGGGTGCACCTGTCGCACACATGCTGCAGCCTGCTGTTTCTTATTGAAAGCTCTAAAAGGTTCACCATCACTGGCCTATACTGTGTGTCCCATTTTTTTCTTCTCAAAGATTAAACCTAGTGCAAACAAAAACTCAACCAACCAAAAGCAAAGCAAAACAATGTAATTAGAAATAACATTTTTTAAGAGCTGAAAATTATAAAATTGGAAGTTGGTGGAAAAGAAGCAATTTACAAGGTATTGTCCAGATCTGACTCAAGACAGAGTATATTTCCCATTCATTCTCTTTCCATTTATTGCATCTTTCAATGCTTTTTCTTGTAAATCTTATACTCTATTTAAATCTTTATAATCATTTCCCTATACAACTATACAAGTAAATATTTTTGCAACTTCAATCGCCTTTAAACCTGCATTGGAGAATGTTAGCTGACATTAGTATTAGTCTTTTAAAGAAGGGGAAATTGGTTTTATTACTTTTCTGTTTTGGAAAGAAGAAGAATCTGAAAAAAGTATTTGTGGCTTTGTTTCATTCTTGTGTTTATGTTTTAAAAATTTGAATTACACTGTTTCCTTTGGGCCAGTAGGCAAATAAACACTTGTCATTAAGGCTGTCCCAAATGGAAAATGACTGCCAGTGTGTTGCACACACGTAAGAAAATTGCTTCTTAGTGCAAAGTCTTTGATTTATTTGGTTTGATTTTCTGTCTTGCTATGATCATATCCTTAATATTGGTGGTACATTTCATATACATAGGGGGCATAATTACCCTTTCCTTGCATCTTGAGGAAGTTTAATGAGGAAACTAATGAATTAATATTTAATCTTCTGATATCTTAGGGGAGTATTAACTACCCATTGTAGTAAAAAGCAACAAGATGTCTTATGTTTGCATCACCTGTTCCACAACATTTGCTCCTTGCAAAGAAAGCTTCACAGACCTCACTGTGAACATCAGTTTAACATCATATGTTCCTTTAAGCCATAATTATTCTCACTTAATATTTGAAGAAACGAGTTGCTCTGAAGTGACTTTGTAAAAACTACCATTTGAGGTTTAGGCTATAATCAGGTAACTTAGTAAAATCTGCAGTCATGTGTAGTACGCAGAAATTTTAAAAAGGGAGGGAATTTGTGCTAGCAATGGGCATTTCTAGTATTTACGTGATTTTTCCAGGAATAGTTTTCAAATGGGACAAACTACAAACAATTGAGCACTAAAGCATCTTAGTCTCTTTAGGTACACCTAATAAGTTTAAATACTTTTGTGCACACCCCTCAGTTAATTTGTAGAAGAGTGACTTGCATTGCCTCTTCACTTTCTGTATTCTTCTACTTTTTTTCACATTTGAGTATATGAAAATACTATTTTTTGACACTTTATTGAATCTCAGGGATTAAAGGATGAATTTTACTTACTATAGCAGTAGGTAAATCTCTTAAATTCAAACTCAGGTTTCCTATCTTTTGCCTCCATATCTTAAGAAAATAAAGAATGGCTGCCAGGGAAATATAGAGAAAAGTTTTAGATACAATTTAAAAATACAAGATTGTAAATAAACCAATTTTACAAACTAAAACATTGTGTCTTTCCTTGCTTTTTACCCCGAGTTATCTCCCCACATAAGTTTGAGGAGTTTTAAATATCAAGATTATTTCTTCATTTATAAAAATGAAGTGTGTTATTTTTGAAACCATAGTCCATGAATAAGCCTAGATCAATTAAGTAAAAGTTTACTGAATTCTTTTCCTGTGTTTGGGGGGAAATGTGATTAATTATGAGCAATGTAGTCCTTCAATAAATAGGTGTATGAGTAAATTTGGGCTAATTTATCATGATTGTATCTGAAGAATACCCTACTCAATCTCCCCTTTCCATAGAACATAATTCATGGGAGTTTTGACTTGGATGGGCTTAAAAAATATACAACCAAATAATAGAATCTTGTTAACATCTATCACAGATGGCATTCATTTGTCAAATATGTATTATTAAATGCCTACTACAAGCCAAATTGTGGGCGCTAGGAATATGTAATAGTGAATAAAACAGTTCCTGTCTTTAGGAATTTTTAACTGGAAAGGCAAGCATTATATAAATACATGAACAAAGGCATAGTTGCAAATACAGTAAGTGCCATGAAGGAAGAGTGTGTGGTATTGAGTGTATATAAATGGCACAGGGCCCTTGCGTTGTCTTGTATGGATCAAGGATGGCTTCCCTAGGAAAGGAATAGCTTTGGAGCTGCTGAAGGAAGAACAGGGTGGCTAGAGGAAGCAAGATGTAGCTGGAGATGGAGCATGAAGACCTCAGTATGAAATGAAGCTGATAGGTGCTATCTGGTTTCTTGCAGGAAAGAGACTTATGTTCAGGAAGATAAGGTTATAAAACACTGAGCAATTTCAGAACAATAAAAGATAAAATTTTTGAGTAGTAAAGATTGTTTGTATTGCTGTGGATAAGAAGTTTCAAGTAGGTATGTCTCCAGCCAGGTCTCAATGGAAGTTAGAGAAGAATATTCTAGAAGAGAATTGCTGTAATGGAGGCACATGTATATCATTCACACATCTGGCCACTGAATATTGGTTGAGCATCTATGCATATAACAGCATGATTCCAGAGTGAGGGATGGACAGTGATTATTTTGGGAAATTTATCTTTGTCATCCTGTGTGTCTTCAAAATGAGCTGTGTTGTTCCTCCACTTCACATGTGCCATCTCTGTCTAACATGCTATTCTCAATCACTGCCTCATCCTATGGGACTCATCTAAGACGAGCTGTCATTGTCTCTGCAAAGCTCTTTTAATCCCAACATTGGGCAGGGTGGCCCTCACCAAAAGTGAACATTGGCCATCGTTTTCTTTGCCCCTCGAAGAATTTCTGCTAACTGGAAGGTGAGTGGAGCTGAGTTGAGAAGGACAGTGCAATTTCTTCTGCGTCCTCCATCCTTTCTCAGCACAAACTAGCCAAAAACAAACAAACAAACAAACAAAAAAACGAAAAACCAAAAAACCATGTTATCCAGAGAGATAACATTTTAGTCTGCGAGATAGATGTTGAAGAGATAATCATAAAAGTGTCAATTATCAATTATGAAAAGATCCAGGAAGGAAAAGTAGAAAGATATTTTGAGAAATGATAAAAACCTGGAGGAGGATAAAGGACCCTGTGCTAGAGGGGTACTTTGAGCGATATGGTGTCCTGAAGGTTGTGGAAATGCAAAGCCTAGGAAAGAGCAATCTAGAGCTAGGGCTCAGCACCTGACAGAGGCCTGTGTGCCTCGAGTTTGGTGAGCAAAAGGGCAGATGGTACAAAGGGAGGAGAGAAAGCAAAGTCAACCCACAGGGTGAGGAGTCGGGAATTTGTTCTGATTATACCAGTAAGCCATTGACATATTTAAGGTAGAGTATGAAACAATCACTCTAATTTCTTGTGGAGAAAAACTAGAGATGAACCAAATGAGAATGATGATATCTTATGAGCTAAAAGAATCCTAACCATTTGGGAGAGGGTAGAGAGAGATAATTTGATAGGAATAATAATGGTCCCAGACAACAGGTTCTTCCTAGGAGGTAAGGTGAGATGGATAAGATAGTGCAGGATTCTTCAATGTGACTATTTAAAAATCCTACAGGAGTCTTGAAGGTTCTTAACTGATAAACTTGGGAAGACTGCCTATAAAACCTGAGGTTCACAGATGTGATTTTATTGAACTATAAAGGACGTTTTAAATCATTAAGACAAACACTAAGAAAGCATTGATGCTCAGTGCTTGCAAGAGTGTGTGGTGGCACAAAATGCTCATTTGTTGCAGAGCCTTTCAGGGAGCACCTTGGAATCTGCACTCAGACCTTTAGAAATGCTCATTTGCCTTCACCTGGCAATTCTATTTTAAGAATATCTATCAGACATAATCCATGACATAAACAAAACTTACCATATCTAATAGCATAAATGGAAAAATGCTGATTTCTTTCAATGAGAAATTCCTTAATAAATAAATATACTTTTCCATGAACAGAAAGCTTATATTGTAATATTAAGCAATGACAACACCCCCTCTGCCAAAGTAAAACCAAACCACACACAAAATAAGACACAAAACTGAACACTTGCTCTGCCCAAATAGGCAGAGGCTGAGGCAAAGAGCTAGCATTGGTAAAAGAAATAGAGAGAAATTCACCAATGTGTTAAAGGTAGCTGATTTTAATTTTAATTTTCTTATTTTAAAATCAATTTTCACAATGAGCATTAACATTTTTAACAATATTTTTTTTAAGTCCAGGGTATTATGACAAAGAAAAAATATATGGAAGGAAAGGAATAAATCTGAAAGAAAAAGACTTAAATGTACAAAGTAAACAGAGCATTTTAATACTAGGAGGGAGTTCGCTTTCTGTCTTGTGGAATCAAGCTGAACCATTTCAGCTCTTGCTGTGCATTTTTTCACCTCCAGTTTCTGCCACCTGGAATAGTTTTCTTCCAGGCCTGATAACTGCAGCTGACTTTAGGTGTCAGGTAGGCAGTACTTCTGCCCTGCCTGTTCCGCATTCATTCAACCTTCCTCAGATTGAGGTGCTCCTACTGTGGTCTTCCATGTTTGTCTCAAGGCCCAGTTTCATAGACCTTAAACTTCAGTGTCAGGCTAGCTTTATTGTGGGTGCTTATGTTACAAGAGGGCAAGATCTGTGATATTCCCAGCGACTACCATAAAGTTTGGGACAAAACAAGGGAAGAGGGTCCAAGAGAGATGTACACAAAGGAAACCATCACTGCTCTTTCAGAAAAAGGTTTCAGAAGAGTAAAGTAAATGAAATATATTAGCAAGTGGATTAGAAAAAGGCCAATGATGAGGAAATGGCACTGTGGGTGAGGATCTACTCAAATATCAGTAGTAAATGTGCATAGATGGAAAGAAAAATACCTGGAAAAGGTATTGACTATTTGACTGTTTTTTCCAGGTAGGCAAAAATTAAAGTATGGTACCTTCTTATGCTTAAACTCTCTAATGACCTCCCATCACACTAAGGAAAACCAAACATTTCCTTGACATGGGCTTCAGAACCCTCTGTGATCTGGCTTCTGTTTCTATCCAAGCTCATTTGGTTCTACACTTGTCTAGCTCAGTATGTTCTAGACACAGCTGTCTTCTGTATGTTCCATGAATGTATCAATGACATTCCTGCCGCAGGACCCGTACTCAGAACAGTACTGCCTGTTCTGTCTTTTCTTGCCTCTCTCTTTGGAACGTTTTTTTACTTAGATTGCACATTCTCTGCTTGGACAGCACTTTCCTGACCAGTACCAATTTTCCCCATCCCTACTTCCTCCCCATCACATTATCCTGTTTTATTTTTTTCTAAAACAATGATCAGTATCTGGAAAAGTCTTGTTTATCTGTTTAATGATTGTCCATTGTCTGTCTCCTTCATTAAGTGTAACTCAAATTATACAATTAAGTATAACCCACATAGTTCTTACTGAGTGTGTATTCCCTATTGCCTTAAACGCACTGGCATACAATAGATGATCCTTAACTATTTATAACTGAGGCTTTAGTGTGTTTGAAGGAAGTAAGGAATAAGTCAGTGGCAAGCAAAAAAAATTAGAAATACTATGTGCCAGGAAGGCAAATAAGTATCATTTCTGATGCCAGCCTTTGAGTGCTTATTAGTGGCTGCCTAGAACCCTGTCTTGGGATTATGATGATTCCTCAGGGTTCAGTAGGAAATACTATGATTGATTAGCAATGTCTGCCACGGGGACAGAGAGGGGAAGCTCAGTAGTTGAATAGACTTCTCTGTATTCTGGTATGCATTGCCTCAGCTCTAGTGTTGACACCTGGAATTGTGTTCAGGATATGCCTGCCACTAGATCTTAATTAATGTCTAGGTAGTTTGTTTTTTTCTTCTTTAGGAATCAACATAACAGGAACATAAGTATTTTTATATCAAGATAGCTTACTAATTTATTCTTTAATATATTTGTATGTTCATGTGTATATCTTTAATGGAATAGATGAAGGACAAAAAAGTATTTCCTTTAATCTCAATTTCCTTTCTTTTACACTTTCAGTGCTTGATCTTTTGGGTGACATTAGGATGGTAGCCAATTCTGAGTAAAAATCTACTAACAGGCTTCTGGCCAGCAGTAAGAGGTGCCTACTAGAGATAACAAGGTAGAAGGGAGCTGCAGTTGAGTTGTTTTCATGGTTCATATACTTGCTTTCTTCTTTCAGGCTTGGAATCTACAAGTCTCCTACTTCCTGGGCTAATAAGAGCAATAAGAGCTCAAGAACAGTAAGGCTTTTTATTAGATGGCCACATTCTTGTGTACCCTGACACAAATGATGAATAATGGGCCAGATTAACCCAGTGACCTTCAGGAATGATGAAATGGGAATATAAAGATGAGAGATTTTGTTTCTCTGCTTTGGTATTAAGCTTCTCTCTGGACTTCTGATGTTTCTTCTGGCTTCAGTAGGAAATAGTGCACAATATTAGTCTGTTCTATGCTATAACAAATTTCAAATTGCATTTTTATCTCTTTAATGCATGATGCTATCTTTAAATGTGATT